AGATCTTGATCTTCTTGAATTTCTTGTGCCAATATTGTTGTTGACTAAATACGAGTTTGTTGTCCTTGTTTCTTGCGATTTTAGGATAAAAGTTAATCTTTGAAATCGTCCTTGATCCTTGCTTGCTGGTGTTTTATCCATTTGTTGGGTAATAACTAACTTTTGAATTTTTGAAATTCAATTGTTCCCCTGTCCACGTTGTCATGCTGTAGTGATTGCTATATCATTAATTCGTCAGCTTCTTTGCTACAGCATTCTGAGTCAACTTTTCCTGCAAAAGAAAACACTCAACAAGTCATTTTTCTTACACAAAATCAAGGAATATTGTCTCATTTTCCATATTTAGTCATCTCAAAGCACTTAATCGTAAATATACATCAATTCACTCAATTATCATGCAATTAAGACCCTTTATATGGAATTTATGCAGCAAATTCATCATAAAAACACCAAATTAACTCTCATTTGGGAGAGTTAACAACGCTCTAGTGCAGAAGCCAAATATCGTGCTATGACTTCAGCCACCAGTGAGCTCGTTTGGCTTAAAGACATCATTTTTTTTACCTTACTTTGGAGCAAATGAAGAATCATATTAAGTTGTATTGTGATAACCAAGTTGCTATTCATATCACATCTAATCCGGTGTTTCATGAGAGAACTAAACACATTGAACTAGACTGTCATTTTGTTCGGGAAAAGGTTCAAGCAAAGATAACTGAGACATCTTATATCTGGAGTGAAGACCAATTAGTAGATGTGTTAACTAAGGCTCTTCCTAAGAACTCTTTCCAAAATATCATTGCCAAGTTGGACTTTATTGACATCTTCGCCTCAACTTGAAAGGGGGAGTGTTTAAGCTATTAGTGGAAACAAATTAGGAAAAATGATTGATTGTAATTCTGTACCAAATATTACTCATAAAAAGAGTAATAAATCACTTGATATCTTGGATTGTGGGCAAAATAACCTGGCCCAATTATTGTATCATCTCCTATTTATATTAAAAGGAATTCTCCTCTTTGATCATAATTGAGAGGGGGAGAAATATTTTCAGTGTGGACGTAGGAGTAATGGCTGAACCATGATAAATTTATATATTTTTTATTTTAAGAGTTGAAATAGAACCTTTCTCCACTTGTTTTGACAAAACTCAGGCTATGTTTGAGAGCTAAAGTTAGAATATGAACAAAGGAATGTTGAGCAGAATTAGACATGGCATAGAAGTTTTCGCCAAAAAATAAAAAAGACATGGCAAATGGCAAGGAGTAAGTTTTCATGAATGTATAAGGTATTGCATGTGGAAACTCCATAAATTGTTCTACTGAGTAGAATTATTACGTAGATAGCAAAAGTCTATATATTCTTCATTATTCATAGGGAAAAATGTTTATTCTTTTAAAGGACACATCTTATATTCTTTCACTCTCACAAAGAGGTGGGACCCACACCTTTATATTTTTTTGTCCACTCTCTCTCCTTCTTTATCTATCTCATTCTCTCACTTAAAATGACACAACTTTACATCCTTTAAAATGATACAAACTTTTCCCTTATTTATATCTCCTACCCACTAAGTAGCTCATAATTATAAAATATGCAATAAAGGTAAGTAATACATTATTGATTAAAAGAAACATTGGGGAAAAAAGTGTAATATAAATAAGAAAGATAAAAAATTTCATAAGAAAATTAAGGAAGATAAAATCATATTAAAAATTCAGATTTTAATAAAAAAATAAAAAATGGTCGATGATATTGATGAAGAATGTTATGTACATCTCCTGGACCGGCTTTCACGGCCCAATACATATGAGCTGACCGATTTATTAATTTCTTATTTTATCAATTTTTAATTTTAAATTCTTATGAATTCTTTTTTTTAGTGAATCTTTTTTAATTTGAAATAAAATTAAGTATTATATCTAGATTAATTAATAAATAATATTTTACATTGCTTATCTTAAATACACATTAAAATTTTAATAAAAAATAATGCGTTACACATGCTATTAACTAGTTCTTATACTATGTTCTCTTTGGTCGATGTGAAGACTTTATTGATAGGTGATATGTAATCTCTCACCTAAATTCTTAAAGAAATTGGGGTTCTTTTTTAACCATAGTAGAATACTGTGTCTAACTCTATTTAAACTTTCTCTTAGTTTATACATATTTTATTTATATTTTTAATGTTTTAATTAGAGTAATGTTTGACTTTTAATAATGAGATTTGATTTTCTCATGTTGCATGAGAATTCAATTTTCATGTTATGACTCAACTAGTGGTGGACCCCGTATTTATTAAAAAAAGAAAAAGAAAAGAAAAGCTTTGCACGCAAATCGAATGATCATTAACATGAGAGTTGAATTCTCATGCAATATGAGAAAAAGTTTTCCCTTTAATAATATTGACTTATAGAATTTTTTATCTTGAAAAATATATAAAAAGTTTTTTTTTAATTTAACATTTTGTTAATTGTTAATTTTAATTTGTCATGGGAAAAAGCTTCCGCGAAAGATTTGGGCATCATATTCATGCCCCTAATACTTGACCTCTTAGGGGTGTTTGATTGGGGAGAAATTTTTTGAATACTAGGAAAATATAATTGATAGAGAAATGGTTGGAAAGTGAGTTTGGTAAAAAAATGTAAAAAAAATTGTTTGGTAGGTAAAAATATTACCAGGCAAATTGGATTAAATTTTTTGAATCTATGTTTGGTTGAAGAAAAAAAATTGATGGGTAAATGAATTGAAATGATTGAAATAACCTTGTAAAATATTTGAAAGTTGTTATTGCTGTTTGCATACATATATCAATTGCAGTTTGTAAAATGAATTGGAATGGTTTCTATCGAGAAAAAAGAACAGTGTTAAATTTTTTTGTCCCATTATAGGAGACGTATAACTTAAAAAGAGAGTTGAAATCAAGGACAATTTTGTCAGCAAATTGTTCAACTTTTTTTTTCCAGGCAAAACCCAAAATACCATCATGAATATGGTTTTTTGGAACAATACTTTCAATAAAATTTTGGACACAAAACAAGTTGGCTGGGTAAACAAGTCTCCTACCTAAATTTTGTGAATTCTTCTACCAAACGTAGACAAGAACAAAACCCATTTCAAGTTGCCTAGACATCCCTCCCAAAAACTTCTACCAAACACTCCCTTAGGTTCCTAAGTAGTCATGCATATCGTCTCCGGGCAGAATAAGAGCACACTGAATCCCACCAGTTTGAGATGCGGGTCTAAACCCACAATCTTGCAAAGCCACTTGCTCACCCATGATCGTGAGTCCGTGACTTTATTGTTAAAATTTCAATTTATTTTACGTTTTTATAATTTGTTTTCATGAAAATAATTTTATCAATATTTCAAATGCTTTTATGTTTTTATGATTTTTTTACATTATAATTTTATATTTTATGATTTTTTAGCCCTCTTCAAATTTTAATTAAGATTTTGATTTTAATTATCTTGATCACTTGCATGATAATCATTTTAGGGCCACTCTCCATCACTAGGAGTCTAATATATATCAAAATAGTGCTTCACAAGGGACCATCTTCAACACATTGCATAACCATTTGCTTAAGAAACTAAAAAGAATCATGGTGATAACCATTTGTAAATAGTTTAGTGAACAACTTTTGTATAAATTTCTACAATTTTAGCAACTCAACGTAATTCTTAAATGCACACAAGAATTCATATTAAAAAAAGTACACAGCAATTTATCTATTTATTGACACCTTTTGTATAAAACACAGGAGAATCCATCCCTTGGTTTTTAATAATAAATGTTCTTCTTAAGAGGGGCGTTTGGTGGTTGAGGAGAATTTTTTATGAATAATAGAAAAATGTGATTAATAGGTAAATAGTTGGAATGTGAGTTTGGTAAGAAAATGTAAAAACAGTTGTTTGGTTGGATAAAATTTTGATAGAGAAATTAGAAAACTTTTATAAAGTATATGTTTGGATGTAGGTAAAATATAAATGGAAAAAATAATTGATATTTCAAAAATAACCTTGTATTTAAAATTTTTTCAATCGGTCATGCTGCCCTTAACCCGTTAAAGAGGGGGTATCCTTTGCCAACCTCCAAATCAAAAAAAAAAAAAAAAAACTACAAATACATAGGTAGCAAAAGCACAATACCACATCTGAAAAGGAAAACTTTCGCCGACTATCTGGACACAGATACATATGCAAGTCAGTTTCATAGCAATATAATTTACGTAGCCAAATTTCCAAAATCGTTCAACCAAACTTAGTCACCTTATAATCCCACTTCACATTTCTCCATCTTTTTCCTCAAAATCCTCGAACCAAATACACCGGATTAGACCGAAAGAACATGTTCTAGAAAATTGATTAAAATCTTTTTATTATGCAAAAATAAACAAAACTAAATATATTTTAAGTTTTATTTTAAAAACTTTTTTATACACTCACACATATAATTGCAGGTATTGTCAAAATATTGTTCTTGAAAAAATATGATTAAGGATCCAAATCAAAGTCTTTGTTAGTTGAGGACTTGAGGGTTTTAATTAGAGTAAACACCCTTTATAGTCCATGTCAATATCTACGAAGTTCTTTTTAGTCCCTGGCACTAAAAAAGGACCAAATTGGTCCCTGAAATTACAAAAAAAGGGCCATGTTAGTCCTTATGTCAACTCCCAAATATGTAGAGGGACCTTTTTCTTGTACTTTCAGGGACCAATTTGGTCCTTTTTTATTGCCAGGGACTGAGAAGGACTTCGTAGATATTGCCACATACTAAAATGATGTTTATTCTTTTAATTAAGTATCCGGATCAGAGTCTTAATGTTTCCTCTCTTTCTAACATGTTTCCGTGTCTCAGCAGTACGGTCATCGAGGATGAAATTACCCTCCGTTTTCCGTTGAAATTACGAAACCATTTCCCTCTCCTTTCTGCTAAGATTCTATTATGAGTCAAAGATTCTCTCTCTTCTGCTTTCTTACCTCACTGAATTTTTCTCAGCATAAAAACTCACTTCACTTCGCTTTCTCGCGCTTTCTCGCACTTTCTCTTCCGTTTTCCCTCTCTTTCTCGGCCGCATGAGATTGAGACGCGCGTCGTCACCTTGAAGAGAGAACCACGCAGAGAGAGAGAGAGAGAGAGAGAGAGAGAGAGAGAGATGGATTTCATTGAAGGCGTGGGAGAGAGCTCCTCGCCACCGCGCAACTTCAGCGGTTTCGGCAACTACGACGTGAGGAACGATGTGTACAATCGCTTAGTGGAAACCGGTCACGATCAAGCAGTGTCGAACCCCGATTTTCGAGAACAGTTGGAGGCTCACTTCAATCGCTTGCCTCCAAGGTACAATCGATTTGATCGGTGAAAAATTCAGGATCCTTTTTTTATTTGTGCTTTTACGTTTTCAGTTTAATATTTTTGGATAACCAAATTTGGATTTTGGTTATGTAGTTTTTTTGTGCCTCTGCATGCATTCGTGTGTGCTTCAATCTCTGATTACTGTTTTGCGTTGTAATAATTGGTTATTCAGTTTCTAAGTTCACTGAAAGTGAAAATTTGTGTTGGTTTTGGGTTGAAGAATGTACTGAGCTAATATTTTTTTGTTAATAAAATTCTTTAGTGTGATTTGATTTGGTAATAATCTTATTTTATGGTTTAATATATTTTGAGTTGGTCAATCCCAAGTTTGAGAAAACAGTACTTGATGAACATTTAAGTAGCTTTTCTAGAAAGTAATCTGTTTTTTCGTTACATATACTCTTTTTTTTTTTTTAAGGAAAGGATAGTTTGGATGGGTTGTTGAAGTCTTAATGGTGAAAGTGCTTTCGATTTCTTATCTTTGTTTGATTCTAAAATATGTATTTGGTCAGTATTATGAAGTGCTACAGGATTAAGTCATTCAACATAGTGTCAGAGATATGGAAATATTAATATACAGAGATGGGATTCCGCTGTAATGCAATTCGTTGCTGTTGTTTCAGTTATGGGCTTGATGTTAATATGGATAGAGCTGAAGATGTTCTATTGCATCAGAGTCTTCTTACATTGGCAAGAGACCCTGAAAAGCGCCCTGTCTTCCATGTCCGCTTCTTGGAGGTACTACTCTTCATTTAATTTAAAATATTGAAGTTTCTATCTAGAAACTGTTTCTAAAATTCTGCAGGAAAACCTGAGAAGTGCAATTGGATTGAATGATTTGAATAATGGAATTTTATCTGCTTTTTAAGTTTACCTAACATACTGTGTGTAACCAACTTCCCTTGTAAACTACTACTTTGATATTAGACATAAAAAACATCCATATGTCTTCACCTAATAGCGAAGAATCGGTTTATGACTGATAGGAATCAACCAAGAAAAGAAGCGAAAAGTAACATAAAATGGAAGTGACTTTGTATTAATGTGGAAGCTTATCAGTACAGTATCACTGGACAGAAATAAGAAAAGAGTAACAATGGTGAAACTAGAAAATCATAGAGAAAATAACAGAAAAACTAAAATATTTCTGGAGCAGTTCGAGAGGCTCTAGACGTCTCTCCCACTCTGGTTTCGCAGCCCAAGATAGTCCCAATTTCCAACCTACTCTCTCACATGCCACTGGCTCTATTTAACAAACTCCTGTAACCACCTTGCCACCTCAGCAATGATTATGCCTCCCTTTTAACAGAATTGCATCCTTAAGGTGTGTGTGTTGTTATCTAGAATATTCCCTAATGCTGTTGAGTCACTCTTAGTGTCGTATCAATACTCCCCCCAAAAACACTCACCTTGTCCTTAAGGTGAGGTTTACAAGAACCTTCCACCGGGATCCCATTGATTAAATTGTGGAAACTCATGTGTGCCCCAAGTATGATAATGACCACCAGGATCCCATTGTCCATCTTGATCATGAGAATATTGGTGTTGGATAGAAATCTGAATCTCCAGATGTTTATCTCCTTGAACATGATAATACAGGTTAGATGTACCCCTTGAACCTGAAATCAGGAACACATAAAAGAACTGATCTCCCTTTATTTGTCCTTTAAGAAGATGCTTTTCTCCTTTTTGAATGGAGATAACATTGACCCGGTAGACTTCTTGAACAGAAAAAATTCCTTCGAAGTCCTCAGCTCCAACGTTTAGGTCCATGAAACTCTGCTTACAGCAACAATTATCATCCAAGGTTGCTGATTTAGGGGAACTACATTTGACCCGATGTCCATATTTTCCAGGAATAGAACCATATTTCTCATTGCAGCTTACAGAACTGTGGATATTGACCAAAACCAGAGAAAAATCAACATTAAAGAATGGGCTTCTAACCATAACATTGATTTCAAATGGAGCAAACATAAATCCAACAACATTCTCAATAGGAGAAGCAATAGCTGATAAATGACATACAGCAGGCACAACATCAAAGCAGATATTTCCATTTCCTTTTGTTTGTTTCTTTTGTGGTTTAAAAAATTCATCCTGGTTGGCACGAGCTTGATGGACTTGGACATCACCAGCTGCTTCACGTAATTTTAGGCTGGAAGCAGTGCAATTTTGAGTAATGAACATTTTATACTTTAACACCTGAAATTCGAATTGGAACAGAACCTGCACGACTTTAGTCCACGCCTCCTTCAACAACTTTAACGACTTAATATCATCAGGTTCAAAAATAGTAGTGTCTCGAAGGTACCACAGCTTCAGAGGTTGATGCACCTTGGCTCTGGTGTCTACCTTGTTGCACATGTTTTTTCCTGCATCGTAAAGTGATTATGTTTCTTGGGGAAGATCTACATCTTTGGGCTCATAAACCCAACCTCCAATAAAAATAGAAATACCATTGGTTTGGGTTGGAGAGGTTATGAGGTGAAATTTGGGCCTGACTTATTCTCAGCAACATGACCCAATATCTCTAAGGCACTTCCTGACCTGCTTTGCATCTCCCCCAATTTCTCACTTGGTCGTGGCTGACCCCATTCATGGCTTCGTCGTAAGAATTCATGTTTCCCTGTAAGAACAAGTTTTGGTTCGATGGGTCTGGTAATAGAGGTGGTATGGCCACCTCCGCTTTGGGTTGTGTCATCTCCTTGAATTCAGGTTTTGCATACCTAAGGGTTCCTTGAATCTCTTCACTCTCCTTTTCATGCTCCTTTATCGCAAAACCAAGGGTTTTTTTTTTCCTTACTGCCATGAATTCCCCTTGAATTTTCTCCTCCTTCTGAATTTCGATTTCTTCCTTGTTCCCGACATGCTTATTCTTGGCTGTCGTTGTCCTCCGAAAAGGAATCTCGCTGCATTTTTATCTCTAGTTTTGGAAGCGCTGGTACCGTTTCCTCCTCCCGCATTTCCCATCATCTCTCTATCTCTAGTTTTGGAGGTGACTTTTTATAATGTGGAAGCTTATCAGTACAGTATCACCGGACAGTAATAAGCAAAGAGTAACAATAGTGAAATTAGCAAATTATAGAGAAAATAACAGAAAAACAAAAATATTTTTGGAGCAGTTCGAGAGGCTCTAGACGTCTCTCCCACTCTGGTTTCCCAGCCCAAGATAGTCCCAATTTCCAGCCTAATCTCTCACATGCCACTGGCTCTATTTAACAAACTCCTGTAACCATCTTGCCATCTCAGCAATGATTATGGCTCTCTATTAACAGAATTGCATCCTTAAGGTGTGTGTTGTTATCTAGAATATTCCCTAATGTTGTTGAGTCACTCTTAGTGTCATATCAATGACATAGTATCAAAGCGGGTTCCACGACCCGGCTCTGTTTTCCATTCCTTCTGACTGAACCACTTTCAGCCGTGGCGCTTTGTCTACCACCTTTGATGTGAGAATCGGGATAACTTTTCTTTGGAGGTTCCTTGTCACCATCTTAATTCCCTCTAACATATCAGTTGGACTATGCATACAACTTTGCAGTTAGAACTCAGACAACTTTGTACTTGTTGACATTCCTTAAGTTGATGCCTTCTTTGAAATACTGCAATATCTTCCAACTAACTTTTGATATGTCTACTTTTCTGGACCACTTTGTTTATGAATATTATGTATAATTTCTGTTGTTCTTTGGCATATTAGCTTCACCTGTAGTTTTCCTTTTCTCCTATGAGGTTTATATCTTAAAACAAATTATGCCTTTCAATTTTAATATTAATTCTCTTTTACCACTGGCCAGATTTTATTTTATTTTAAGTTATGACTTTCATATCTATACTTAATTTTGTTCTCCCTCAATTTTGCTGGGAAGAATATTTCTACTCAAACAGATGGTGAAGATCAACAAATTGTAAGTACTCAATCTAGCCCAAGGCCATCTTTTCTTACAACTAATGGGGGAGCAGTATCATCTCATAAGAGGTATGCAGTCCACATAATGTAACTGTGAAGTAATATGTGTATACACAAATTTACAGAAAGGTTTCCCTAACTATTGCTTATATTATCAATTCTGTCTTGTCTTAACCTATCATTTATATCATTTCTATGTGTAGAACTAGGGATCATGCCATTGACTTTGAGCCTTGCTCCAAGCTTGAGGACCTAAATTTGGATGTTAGAAAGAACTCCAAGGAGATTGAGGGAAGATTTCTCACTGACAACTTTTCCCAGAGGTACCGCCTGAATAAAATATAATGGTATTTTTTACCCTTTGGGCCTGAATATTGTCCATCTTTCAAGCCCAATGGGCTCTTGTGTGAGGGAGCGTGCTAGAAAAATATAATATAGATATTAATGTGGTCGTTACCAAATAGTTAAGCTTTTGGGTTGAATTAATGCTTTATTGTTAACAACTTTATGAAGATTCAACTATGAAAATAATTTGTTATTCAATCCCTTTATAAATGTAATTTTAGTGTAACTTTTTCGTGTCTTTTATGCGCTTGAGCAAGTTATATTGTGGCCTGATTGTTTGGAGTCATTAATTGGCCTTCTAGACATAACGTAGGCACCTGCATCTATTTATGTTGCTCTTGGAAATTGAAATATTTAAAATGTTATGCTTTGTAATAAAATTTGTCATGTATACAAGGATTTAAAATATTTGCACACCTTCTTAGAACCCTTGCTGCATTCATGGTTCAACACCCTCAGGTATTTCCATGTAGACTTTCTCCTTTAAGTTTCCATTTAAAAAGGCATTCTTCACATTTAGTTGATGAAAGGGCCAATCCTGGGGAATATGTAGATAATTTGTAGATTTTACATGTTTGGAGAATTGACAAGTTTCACAAATGGAAATGCAGTAATTTTATTCAGTAATTTTAGGCAGTGGGGTGTTGTCATGATCCTGTTCCTGGATGCATTAAAAATAGGATTAAGACCAGGAAGAAAATTATAAATCCTTTCCCTCTCCACAATCTTCTTGTAGGTGGCCGCATCTTCTTTTGTTGTGCATTTGTGATCTTCTTATAGGTTGTTTGCAAGGGTATTATAGTACTGAGATATATTCTTGTCTTCTTGTGTCAGATCCCTCAAAACACAGTTTATTTGAAACGGGGTAGCAGTGTTGTCAACTTTTGAATATGATTCTTGCACCCCATCCCAGATTTCTTTTGTTGTTGCGCACAACATGTATTATTGTAAATATTATAATTATTTGATTATTGTTTTCTATCATTATTTTTTATTAGTTAGAATATTCTAGAAGCTTATTTGGGCTTGGCCTATTTGGTCTTTTTAATCTCTTTAAATAGAGAATTCTTGTACAGATATACTTACATTTCAATAATATACAAATCGTTCTTTTCAATTTGGTATCAAAGATATACTTACATTTCAATAATATACAAATCGTTCTTTTCAATTTGGTATCAAAGCTCTCGATTTTTAGGGCGCTGCTTCCGTAAACCACCGCCTTTAAAGACGGAATCCTATTTTCCTCTTGTCGCCATAGGAAAATTATTTCGGGGACCTTTTGGACCAAGAGGACTACTGTTTCATTCCGTTTTCTCAGATCTATCATTTTACGGAAGCTTTTTTTTCACCGGACGACCAAAACAGCTCCAAAAGATGACGAACAACACTATTCTGACAACAAACATCATTATTCTGGCGACTTTTTGACTCCGGCCAGCCACAAATAGGTTCGCGCTCGCCGAACGACCTCGTCGTGAAAAGCCCAGCTCCGGCACACCTGTCATGCGCTCACACGTGCCACCAGTCCTTCTGTGCGTGGCGCCCACACGCCGACAGCTTCATCGGCGCATGACGGTGACTTTTCGTCGCGGACCACTTGGGTTCTGGTCGCCTCCTTTTGCTCTGTTTGGATTTGTGCTCGTTTGTTTGATTCAACATCATTTGATTTTTTGATTATATAAAAATAAGAACAGAAATTTATTTATTTTTCTGATTGACTATGTTTGGTAAGATGACACACCCTACATTTCTTCTTACTTCTTGCACTGATTTAAGAAATTCATGGATTATGGATTCTGGTGCAATTGATCATATGACTTGTCTAACTGATCCAGTTCTTTCATATCACTCTACTAGTGGTATCTGTACTATAGTTGTAGCTGATGGATCCCATAAATCAGTTGTGGGTTCTGGTAACATTCAAATTCAACCTTCCTTATTTTTAAAAAATGTTCTTTATGTTCCTCAGCTCTCCACCAATCTTATCTCCACTTATAAGCTTACAACTGATATGAATTGTGCTATTACTTTTTTTCTTACCCATTGTGTTATTTAGGATATCACCATGGAGGACAGTTGGAGTTGCTAAGAAGCAGGGTGGGTTGTACTATCTCATTCCAAAGCATGCTACAAGGGATACCAGGATCAATTATTGATGAGTCATCACCCGTCTACTTCATTGTCACAGTTTTGGCTTCATCACAAACGCCTGGGGCACTCGTCGTTTGGCCTATTGAAGTCAATGTTTCCTTCTTTATTTAAGGATCAGTCAATTGACTCCTTTCATTGTGATGTTTGTTAGCTTGCGAAACACCACCGTGTGCCCTTTCCTTCAAGTTCAATAAAAAGTATTGAGCCCTTTACTCTTATCCATTTGGATATTTGGGGCCTTTCTAAAGTGCATAATATTTTAGGTGCTAGGTAGTTTGTTTCTTTTATTGATGATTGCACTCGGGTGACATGGACATTTTTTATAAAAGACAAGTCAGAAGTACCAGAATTGTTTATTCGATTTTATCACATGATCGAGACACATTTTGGTAAAAGTATTAAGCGATTAAGATCTGACAATAATGGTACGGAGTATGTCAATCAGCGTCTTTCCCAATTCGTTTTAGATAAGGGTATGATTCATGAGCTCACATGCGTGTATATTGAAAAAAGGTTTCTGTATATTAATTATTGAATAAATTACATGAGTGTGTATTTATACAAGGAAGAATCGCTAAGAATGACTCAGCGATGACTAATCAATCCTAATCACAATCAATTCTAATCAATCACAATCAATCCTAATCAATCACAATCAATCCTAATTAATAGGAAATAAAAACGGAAACATATTTGAATTCTGATTTTCTACACTCCCCCTCAAGTTGGGAGGTGAATGTTGATCATTCCCAACTTGCCAATCAAGTCTTCGAATGCTGGACGGTGTAGGCCCTTGGTAAGGATATCTGCAGTTTGCTCTTTGGTTGGAACATATATCATACGCACACTTCCATCATCTAATTTTTCTTTGATGAAGTGAGGATCAACTTCCACGTGCTTTGTTCGATCATGATGCACAGGATTTTGAGCAATGCTAACAGCTGCCTTGTTGTCACAATATAGTTTTATTGGTAGGGAATATGAAATCTTCAATTCTTGAAGAAGTCTTCTCAACTAGATTCCTTCACAAACTCCATGAGCGAAAGCTCGAAATTCTGCTTCAGCACTACTTCTTGCAACCATTGTTTTCTTTTTGCTTCTCCAAGTAACAAGATTTCCCCACACATAGGTGCAATAGCCTGAGGTAGATCTCCTGTCTACTGATGAGCCTGCCCAATCTGCATCAGTGTAGATTTCAATTGTCCTTATATATCCCTTTTTAAAGAATAATCCTCTTCCTGGATTGTTCTTGAGGTATCTAAGCACCCTATAGACTGCACTAAGATGCTTCTCCTTGGGTGAGTGCATGAATTGACTAATCGTACTCACCGCAAAGGCAATGTCAGGACGCGTATGAGATAAGTAAATTAGTTTACCAACCAATCGCTGATATTGTTCTTTATCCACCTCATTCCCATCTTCAATACCTAACTTGGTATTAGGTTCCACAGGTGTCTCAGCAGGTTTACACCCTAACATTCCTGTTTCCAACAAAAGATCTAGAACATATTTCTTTTGTGTGAGAGTGATGCCTGTTTTGCTCCTAGCAACTTCCATACCAAGGAAAAAATCGCTAAGAATGACTCAGCGATGACTAATCAATCCTAATCACAATCAATTCTAATCAATCACAATCAATCCTAATCAATCATAATCAATCCTAATTAATAGGAAATAAAAACGGAAACATATTTGAATTTTGATTTTCTACAGTGTATATCCCTTAATAGAATGGGGTTGCTAAAAGAAAAAATCAACATTTGCTTGAAGTCACCAAAGCATTATTGTTTCAGACATCGGTACTCAACTCTTATTGGGGAGAAGCCTTATTAACTGCAGCCTATGTGATCAACCACCTGCCTTCCATAGTCCTTGGCCATGTTAGTCCTGTTGATCTCATCAACTTCATCATATATATAATATATTCCCTTCATAATCACATCAAATATCAACTTCAATATTCATCATATATATTCCCATCATAATGACATCAAATTATCAACTTCAATATATATTCACATCGAATCAAATATTATTCATAATCTTTATTAAGTTCATTTTGTGGGAAGAGAACCATGGTAGATCCGGAGATCCTGCCAATCTACCCTGTGACCCGGATATCCTGCCAGTCACATATCAACAATTTGGTCATTATCAAAAACATCTCTTCCGAGTGTGCACACCTCTTCCCAAAGTTGCTACTAGTATCCCGGATATTCTGCCAGATACCACTTTGAGAAGAACGGATAATCTCTTTTCACATCACATAATTATCGGAGGCATAAAGTCCAAAAATTTTGTTCATCACTTTAGGAGGTGCCATCCCAAAGCTATCCTCCTATAATTGGAAAATTTCCTCAAGTAGTTTTCATAATTTCCACATCAATATTAGAATCACATTTAATAAATTTAATATAAACAAAACCATAGTGCCCTAAGTATCAAGATTACATCAAACAAAAATTCATATAAAGCTAACCCTTGACTCTCTAGGGATTAGGATTACCTAGTGATTTGAGTAGAGAAGCGGTTGGTAACCAAAGGAAAATAATGATTTAAGCAGAGAAGCGATTGATAACCAAAGGAAAATAATAAAATAAAATAAAATTTTGAAATAAGAAGAGAGAGTAGTAGAGGAGAAGAGAAGAAATACTGAGGATTGGTTAGGGTTAGGCTAAACCTCTATTTATAGATGAAGTTTAGGGCTCAGACATGGGCTGGGCTTCGTACAATTATTTTTCTTTTTAATTTCCTATGGCTCAAAATATCGCTGATTCATCATATCTAATCAAATAACGATTGCTAACTCATCCTAATCCAATCACATTACCAATCAAACATTAATGCATAAAAGATCAATCAATTAATAATTTAATTAATCACAATTTATCATTAGTCCTAATATATATATATATATATATTATTATTGTTATTACTACTAATTTATAATATATTATTATTATTATAAATTACTACTATTTTTCTGGGATATTATATTGGCGCTCGCCTGAGTGGGAGTCATCATGGTTGACGATGTGTCTGGGGATGTTGTTAGGTATGCACTCATGGTGTCGAATCGGAGCTTGGCCAGCTGATCAGGCTCTCGAGAGAGGGCTCTGATACCATATAATTTTTCAGAATGCAGCTATGCTTTTGTTCTCTGTTTTTCATTATTGAATATAAAGGGAACATTATATTTTATGGACTGATCAGGGATACAAGGGGTAACCAATCAATCCCTAAAAAATAGGACCAAAAACAGAAATAACGTTAAAATAAACTTAATTGATTTAAATACGGAATATACAATAGCAAACAGAATCTGGATAGGATCATGCAATCCCAGGAAGGGTGCAGCAGAATTTGAATGAGTTGAACATTCTTCAATGTTTTTGGAGGAAATGGACCGTTTAATCTTGAGATTTTATTAGGGTTCTGATAAGCTGACCAGATCAGACGGACTGGTTTGACTGGAGCAGGTCACTTCACCAGTCTGGTCTGGTTATATAAACCATTCAGTATTCAAAATGTTCAATAGCTGGCTAACAGTACTGAACTGGGAAAACTGTTTGAACCAGTGCCAGTTAAAATGATTTGAATGCGAATAAAAATTATTTTTGCTTTGGTCCGTCTCCTTCTCAATCTTTGCTGCCCAGCTCTGGCCACTGTTCCCATTTCAGGCCCCCACAGTAAAGTGGACGAGAAAGCTCAGATGTGGCTGTTTGTGCCTTGCTTGTCTTGAAGTGTCTCACCCCAGTTACTGCAGCAAGTCTTTGAATGTTAAAATATGAGGAGTAAAGAAAGAATGGGTAAAAGATTAGGCAATGCTGCAGCTGTGTTGAATGGAGATGTTCGAATGGGGAGAAGTACTGGCCTAGTAAAGAAAGCCGATAAGGGATGTGTGTCAGCCATGAATAAGCTTGCTTGGAAAATTGAAAAAGGCTAGCAAGGATAAAAAAAGTGGCTTTATGGATGATGGATACTACTTTGCATATTTCATTTATTAAAAAAATTAAACAAGCAAACAATATTAATCTGATTAGTAATTATGCAGAAATAATAGTAGTGATTCCAAGTTCCAACCGTGAATTGATATAATTAATATTGTAGGCAAGAAATGCGCATCTCACTTTGACAATTATAATAAAATTTTAATTATTATATATGTAAAGAACCTTGGGATACACCACCCCAAAAGCTAGCTCAAAGGGTGGGAGTGCCCAAGACCTTATAAACTCCACATTAGTTGCACATACAACTAATGTGGGACTATATATCTCAACATGCCCCCTCACACGAGAGCCCATTGGGCTTGAAGAGTGGACAATGCAACAGGCCCAGCCTACTTGTGCTAAGAAACGCCACATGAGAAAGTGGGGTGCGGCGAGGCTCTGATACCATGTAAAGAACCTTGAGGTCACCACCCAAAAGCTAGCTCAAAGGGTGGGAGTGCCCAAGACCTTATAAACTCCACATTAATTGCACATACAACCAATGTGAGACTATATATCTCAACAATATATGTTAAATTTATCATAATAATTATATATAAATATATGTACAATTATACTCTGGTTCAACTATTGTTGAACCATTAAACCATGAAATTGTCCCATGACTGGTTGACTTTGTTTTTATCATATGTCAATCACACCGGTTTACTTTTTGTTTTTATCAACAAGTCAATCTCACTTTCCCACAAATTGAACTATTACTTGTGCATTTTACCTGAATAATTAGAGATCTCTCACTTGTTGTAAATTTGTTGACAATACTATGTAAAATGCAGGCAGGAATATTCAAATGTCCCAATTCATGAAGTAATATTTTCCACCATCGACAAGCCAAAGCTTTTAAGCCAGGTGGGTTTGAAATGTTTACCTTTTCTCTTTAACGGTAAATATTATATCTTTTCTTACTTAATTGACACTCCAAAAGGAAATGAACTAAAGTTTTTCAATCACCTTCTGTCCTCCATATAAAATATCTAGATTTAAGTTTAACTTTCATAGTTTATAAATTAATTCATTAGCTGAATGAAATTGAAACTTTCTGAAAAATGGAATGTATTTCAATACATGGCTGAAGATTTGTTAAGAGTTATGAGTATGCTGTCATATAAAGCCAAAACAATATCCATCTGAAATTATAAGTGGGCTATTGGTTCCCGTGTTTTCATACATAGTTTTGTGCTATTGTTTTGCGTAGTTTTTTTCTGTATCTTTGTTTTAATGACAATGATTTTCGTGATAACTCTAGCAACCGTTCTGTCATTGTCTGAAAAGACTGAGTATAAAAAGAGAAGTAACGAATTTTTCTTCCAGAAAACAGGTTTAGACTAATATACTGGAGGGGATTTTCCCTTAAGAGCTTGAGGGTGGATATTGTGGATTTAATTTGTGTAAATAAGGTTTCAGTCAGTTGATATAGTTAAGTGTGAAATGCTATTCTGTTAATGCACTGAAATATACTAGATGGGCAACAAAATTTCTTTTGATGGATATTATTTTCTTTTAGTTGTCGGCTTTGCTGTCTGATATTGGGCTTAACATTCGTGAAGCACACGTTTTTTCCACAACTGATGGTTACTCCCTCGATGTATTTGTGGTGGACGGATGGCCAATAGAGGTACACTACGACTTATGAATGTGTTTGAGTGCATTTGCTTTCCCCTGAAGACCTTTATACTGATGTATCTTTGAATTTTGACACTATTGATTTCAATTTTTAAAGGCATTAAGTGGTTGATATCTCTTTAATTGATTATGCAATTTTTTTGTATGCATTTTATTACTCTTTTATGTCACGGCAATTCAACTGTACATTTTGTGCTGTCATCTGAACTTTGAAGACAGATTAGGTGTGACAATGATTTATACCCCTAAAAGTTGCATCTGCATCTATCATATTTAGTTGTTAAGTCATACCCGACTATTGATTTTAGAAAAAAATGAATTAGTCTATGTCAGAAGTTGAGCTTGTAGGTTATTAAGGAGCGCTTTTATTATATTTCTCTTATGAAAGGGATCTGTGCTGATTCAAAATGTTAGCTGACTTAGCAATCTGTGCCGATGTTCATCTGATTCAAAATGTTAGCTGACTTAGCAATCTGTAGGTTATTAAGGAGCGCTTTTATTGTATTCAGGAAACAGATGGGTTGTATGACGCAATGGAAAAAGCTGTCGCGAGAAGTGAGGTGCATTGTGTGTCCTTGACTTTATATTTACAAATTCATTTGCTGATTTTATGTATGACAGTGTGAGATGTTGGAACAATATGTCTCTTAAAAATGATTCTTAATGTTCATTGACTTGAATTGCCTGGAACAAATGGAAGAATGAAGAGTAATAACTCTACAATTTCCTTAAACATGGTAAAGAGTATGGGCTCTAGGAGAGGAGATGTTGAGCCACCTGTTTCTTAAGAAGCAAAAAGATCGATGTGCTGAGTGATGCGAGGCATGGATACACACGCACATATTTAATAGAAAAAGAATTATAACTAAGGAAGGAAAGTACAAGAAAGAGAATAAGCCTTACCAGTGGTTCAGACGATTGAGGTTGCTGTTGAGGCAATGTGGGCTGTTCAGACGATTCAGGTGTTACAATCTTTCGTATCTCTGGTGTACTTGATGTATCAGTCATAGGAGGATCAGTTACAGGAGGATCAGACATAGACACATTAGGAACAGGAACAAGAGGAAGAGACACTGACACAGGTGAAGGAGTAGACACTGAAGATTCAAAGAAGGAAGGTAATGAGTCTTCTGGTGAATTATTCTCCCCCTGAAGATGAGGACCTTGGAAAAAGGACTCAGATTCCTGAAATGTAACATCCATAGAAACAAAAAATTTCCGACTTCCAGGGTGATAGCACTTGTAGCCCTTCTTATCAGGAGCATATCCAAGGAAGACACATTTAAGAGCCCTAGGATCCAACTTACTGCGATGCTGTTTATGAATATGAACAAAGACAACACACCCAAACACTCGAGGAAGAAGACTTTGCAAAGTTGGAACAGAAGGAAAAAAAGAAGTCATGGAGTGAATAGGACTTACATGATCGAGAACCCGAGTGGGTAGACAATTGATCAAGAACGCTGCAGTAAGAATGGCATCTCCCCAATAGCATTTGGGTACATGTGTTTGAAACAGTAAGGCACGAGCAACTTCAAAAAGGTGACGATTTTTCCTTTCAGCAACCCCATTCTGTTGAGGGGTGTCTACACAAGTAAGTTCATGAATCATACCTTGGTTTTGTATAAATTGGGAAAAAGAGTGATTGACATATTCAGTACCATTATCTGTCCTTAGTCTTTTGATTTTTTTACAAAATTGAGTCTCAATCATTTTATAAAATTGAAAGAACAGTTGTGGTACCTCAGACTTTTCACGCATTAAGTAAACCCAAGTTACACAAGTGCAATCATCAATAAAAGAAACAAACCATCTATTTCCAGAAGAATGAGGGACCTTAGAAGGACCCCAAACATCAGAATGAATAAGATCAAAAGGTTCAACACTCTTAGTAATACTAGAAGGAAAAGACACACGATGATGCTTAGCAAATTCACAAACATCACAATGAAAAGACTCAACAGACTTAGACAAAAACAATGACGGAAATAAAGATTTGAGTAAACTAAATGGAGGATGACCCAAACGCTTATGATGTAGCCAAATTAAAGAATCAGCAGTTGATTGACCATGAGACATGAATGTGTGATCTGTTACTTTATTTGCGGGAGATTGTGACACCATATAGTACAGCCCACCTTGCTCTTTAGCACTACCAATCGTCTTCCCCGTGGCGAGATCCTGAAAAACACAATGGGTAGGGAAGAAGGTTACAGTACAATTCAAATCTTTTGTAATTTTGTGAATAGAAAGAAGATTCGTGGAGAGTTTTGGAACATGAAGAACATCCTTAAGATGTAAGGACTGCTGTAAGTTTATGTCACCAGAACCCGCAACTGATGTATGTGAGCCATCAGCTATGGATATTGTATGAGTTCCAATGGTAGGATGATAAGAAATAAAGGAGTCAGCACAACAAGTCATATGATCAGTTGCACCAGAATCAACAACCCAAGAATGTTTAAAATCATTACATGAAGAAAGGAAAGAATAAGTTTTGGAGCTCATACCAGTCATAGCCAAAGCACTAGTATCAGATGGCTTACTCAGAGAATCAAGAATGATTCGGAGCCGTTCCAACTCATCTGGACGAAATGCAGGTTGGGTCTGATTAGGTGCAGAAGTTATTTTAGTAAAATGCGGTTGACCACGCATCCTAGCCATCTTTTCTAAGACAGTTTGCTTTCCATGGAGGCGAAAGCATTGATCCTTGATATGACCTGTTCTTTTACAATAAGAACACCATCGATCATCTCTCTTAGGTCTAGAAGATGCACCATCAGAAAACTTTGTAAAGGAACTCCTTTGAGAAGAGGCCATACTGCACAAAAAATGGTCAAAGGATAACACCAAGAAGCCAAAAATCACAAAAGAAATGCCAAACGACGTCCGATCTGAGAGGAGAGCACAGATCCAGAAAGAGGATGAGGAGAAGATCATAAAACTTTTTGGCCGGAGCTGGAAAAAGTGGCCGACGCGCCTCCACGCGCCGGTGGAGGTGTCTGCGAGTGGGCCTCACTCGCCGGTAGTGTGTCGGCGCGTGAGAGCGCGTGCGGCGGCCGCTGGAGCTGAAATTTCTGTGGCGAGGTCGTCCGACGGTCTCGAACCTTTTTGTGGCCGGTCGGAGTTGAAAGGTCGCCGGAAAAGTGTCCAAAACGCGATGAACAGTAGCGGCCTTGTGTTGTTTTGTGAAGATCCGGTCGTCAAACGATTATAACACGTCCGTAAGCTGATAGATCAGAGAAAAAGGATTTGAAAACTGGTCCTCTTGGTCCAAAAGGTCCACCGAAATTTTTTTCCGGTGGCGGCTAATGGCGGCAAGAGGCTAAGAAAGAAGGTTTCTGTTTTAACGAAGGTAATTGCGGAAGCAGAGCCCTCTGGATCGAGAGCTCTGATACCAACTTGAAAGAAAAGGGTATTTGAAATATTATTGAATTGTGTATAATCTGTACAAAGGGTTCTCTATTTATAGAGAATACTTGACCTAATTTTGACCTAATGGGCTTGGCCCAATACAAGAAATAAATGACTAAATAATAACTAAATAATTATTATTTACAACAACATCCTCACAAGAAAACGACAAAAAGAGGAACTGGAATCTACGAGATTGAATCATGTAAGAAAACATGCCAATCTCGCTGCATGTCTGACAAAGAAACACCTCTAAGAAAACCATGAGCAGAATACCAAAGGAAAGCTTAAAAAATAACCCTATCCCAAGTGAAGTCTAGAGTTGAATAAGTGCCCTTAAAAATTCTAACATTCCTTTGTACCAGAGAACTGCAAAGACTAAACATTACCACAGGATCTTAGCTTCTTCACGAGATCCAAAACCTTTAGATGTAGAATTAATAAGGTGAAATTGGTGCAAATCCATAGTGCAATCCAAAACTCTCCAAAAATCCGTAACAACCTATGAAGCATGGACACTGACACAAACACCAACACCAGAGGCGGACAAAGGGACACAAACACCAGAGGTGGAATGGGACATGACGTATGTATGTGTATATGTGTGCAGGTCAAATGAAATTAAATATGAGCAACATGATAAAAGATCTAAATTAAGAATCAGGGCTTATATATGCACCTCAAAACAAATTGCTAAGTTTTACATTTTCCTATGATAATAAGCTCTGTGAAGAACCAATTCTACCCAAAAGCTTAAGCTATTGGGTGAAGGCCTTTTTAATGGTTTATATTATTATTTAACACGCCCCCTCACACGAGAGCCCATTGGTCTTGAAGGGTGGACGATGCATCAGGACCAGTCTACCTGTGCTAAGAAATTCCACAAGAGAAGGTGGGGGGCGATGAGGATCGAACCCGGGACACGAGGCTTTGATACCATGTAAAAAATCAATTCAACCCAAAAGCTTAAACTATTGGGTGAGGGCCTTTTTAATGGTTTATATTATTATTTAACAAGCCCCACAAAAAATATATTGAGACATCATATTACAATGTAGTTGTAACACCTCGTGTATACCCGGATTGTTATCATATTACAGTATTAAGCGCAGCTCAATTAAATGCGGAAGCTAACTTTTTCTTTTCAATTATGACGTCATTATCATTAACTAAGTTGATTACTTATTTCTTTTTCAAAACATTGCCTGTATGTACATTGCAATAAAGAACTAACTGAATAACCTCATATATAGATGTGTATCTAATCACGGTACTACAACACGTAAACCGGACAACATCCTGATACATTATACAATTCGAATCTAAATAAACATAGTCAACACAATGTGGCATAGACAACTCCCATGCTCACCAAATAAGGCAACAAAGCCAACCCAAGTCTCAACTCAATAACAAGATAATGAAATAAAGCATAATCATTAAACAGGCATATCAACAGTCAACATGTATAATCAACTCAGCTCCGGCCTCCTGCCGCCCGAGGTATCAACCCCCGAGGTACATGAACCTGAAAATGTGCCCCAAACGTGGGGTGAGATCTCTAAAAAGAAATCTCAGTAAGACAAGGGGTCCTCAAGGATCTCTCCACCCTAAGCTCACTTACATGTGCAATATAAGTTCAAAAACAGTAAAACAATATAAGTTTCAAAATCAATGCAATGCAGCATATAATCATGTCATGTGTGTCAGAATCCTACTGGCCAGAGAATAAAAGTATGAATTACATACGTCTACAACCTACCGTAGTACAAGACGCTACTTGTACCCACCCACAGGATCACCATCTTGTATGACGCTACATACTCAGGCTTACCGTCTAGGTGGAACAACACATACATTTCATAAGGCATTTGCACTTAACAGCTCAATAGCATTTCAATAAATCAACATTTCATAAAAGCACATCATGCATATAAACCATCCCTCCATGAGGTATGGTGGAACCAATAATGAGCAAAACCAAGGACACGAAAGCTTACCATTCAAGCTAACAATTCAATCAAGAGTCCACACTAGCCCAAGGTCACCAAACAACACCCTCACAATCTGTTTATAACAGAAATAGTCATTATTATTCATAGCCCAACGTTTTACTAAGTGTTTAAAGCTTTCCAACTTGTTTTAA